AAAAGCCTGTACACCAGTAGAGGCTCGTACAATGAAAACCTCGTATGCATTTCTCCCAAATTCAACAGTCTTGCACCTTGGTTGTTGTCTTGCCCTAATATTTTAAAGAATATTTTTGGTAGCCTGTCATTCTACTCCTAAAGGCTTTCTTAAGTATCTTAAAAAGATAGGGCATTTTCTGACTACCCCTCAGTCCACTACGCAGCACCCCGAGTGTTAGGTCATTTCTTCCTGTCTTCTGTGTGTTCCGGATTTGCTGGGCTCACGGGGCCGGCTCCTGCATGTGGTCAGTCTCCTGAAGAACTGCTCTCCTCCCTTGTTTCATGCCCGGACCCGATGAAGTAACTAAGTCAGAGGAACCAGGCGACACGTTTCACATTTGCTCCTTGATTTCCATTGGGGGGTGGTCATGTAGCTGGTTTTGAGGGAGGAGGGGCCTGGTGTTCCCTCAAGGCTTAGAAGTTAGGAACTGCTCTCCTCCCTTGTTTCATGCCAGGACCCGATGAAGTAACTAAGTCAGAGGAACCAGGCGACACATTTCACATTTGCTCCTTGATTTCCGTTGGGGGGGTGGTCATGTAGCTGGTTTTTGAGGGAGGAGGGGTCTGGTGTTCCCTCAAGGCTCAGAAGTTAGAGGTGAAGACGTGATGTGATGCAGATTCTGTTTCTGTGTGGGATAGTCCGCAGGTGGAACCCAGGCCCCTCCCCGGGGAGGGCGTTACCACCTGGTCCCAATTCTTTGGGACCACAGTCAGCCTGCGTTCTCGGGCATCTTAATCCGTCCTTGTTGAACTCAGCCTCCTTATGATAATTTACTGCACATGGATGATCATGGTCCGAGACAGCTATTGTACAAGAATTTGAGGGACCAGCAGTTAGCGTAATGGCTATGATGCTGGACTCCCATGTAGTTGACCGTGGTTCGAGTCCCGGACCCGGTAGCTTAAACTCACGCCAGGCACGTGGGCATGCGTGCCCAAGATCCCAGAGGAGAACGGAGGAGAAGGGATTGTGTAGTAGCCATCCCCGCTGGGGGGTGATTTCTCGCTTTCTGTCTCTTTGTCTCTCTGGCGAGCACACGCGCCCTATAGCAAAAACCTCTCGAAAACAAAAAAGAATTTGAAAACCTAATTTTATAATGTTACTATTATAATTATAATTATACTTTTATTTCTATATTTAATGGTTGGATTTTTCTCTAAAGAAGAGCTTTCCTCCATCCTGAAATACTTAAATAATTACTTTCCTTCCTTAAGTACTAATTTCCAGAATAAAGATTGGTTTCTTGTGTACCTGTCATTGAAACCAAAGAATTTTTTTTTTTTTGGCTTTTTAGCTCTTCTCCTTTAAAAAAAAAAATCATTAAGTATTAGTGATTTTTTTCTACATTCATTGTGTTCACTTCTAGTAATTTTTCTTTATAGGTATCTCATTGTCCCGTCTTTAGCCCGTGGAAACCCTTTACCTAGCTTCTGTATCCATTTACTTCTTCTTAATTTTTTGGAAAAGCAGCTTTATTTTAGCATAACTTATAGACCTCCAAACTTATCCACTGTGAGTGCGCAGTTCCCGTCTCTCACGTCAGCCGCCGCCTCCCCTGCAGCAGTGCGAGGTAGCATACATGTGTTCGTTTTTACTGTTTTGGTCTTAAACCAGTACTTTCCTCTGTCAGATCATCTCAGACCTCGAGTCCTGGAATGACGAGCTTTCTCAGCAAATGAACGACTTCGACACGGAAGACCTCACGATCGCGGAGCAGCGACTCCAGCACCACGCCGACAAAGCCCTGACCATGAATAACTTGACGTTCGATGTCATCCACCAAGGGCAGGACCTCTTGCAGTATGTCAACGACGTCCAGGCCTCTGGTAGGAAGGGTCGTCCTGCCGTGGGTCAGCTGTGCTTTCTTCATGTCAGCAGGGAAATCCTGTTTTATTTTGCTGAAAATTCTGTTCTTCTCTAAGTTCCAGATAGTAGAGATACCTGCAATTTTTTTTTTTAATAGAGATTTTTGTTATTGGGCACATGCGCTCACTGGAAAAAGAGAGAGAGAGAGCAAAAAATCATCCCCCAGGGGGATGGCCATGCCACACTCCCTTTTCCTCCATTCTCCTCTCGAGATCTTGGGCAAGCATGCACACGCGCCCAGTGTGAGCTTAAACTCACAGGCCCAGGGCTCAAACTGCAGTCAACTATGTCTTGCGGTATAACATTACACCATCCTGAAATAACTGTATTTTAAAAGGGAAAGGTTTTACATTTTTTTTAATGGTACAGTCACATTTAACGTTCTAGTTACAGTACTTACCCTTAATTTTACATATTATTTCAAGTAGCATGAACTTAAATGTTACACAATTACCAGTTCTATCTCTGTACATGAAATGGAAGGAAGTCCTAAGCAAATACTCACATTCTTTTCTGGTTTCTGTTTTTACCAGCAGATGTCACTGTAGCCACAGAAATATAGCTCACTTCAGAAACTTAGCAACTACCGCATACTACAGTACTCTTTTTACACAAATTAAACACTCATTAAAGAGTACTCTGTGTGTTGAGGGTAACAACAAAAACCCAGAGTTCGCTCGTTTATAAGGGAAGCTATGCTCTCACTAGTTTTGGTGTAGGATGAAGGTAGATTGATGGAGATGGGTTTGGTTCAGTCGTCTCCACCTTCTTTCAGACACATGTGCTCAGAGGCGGGTTCCCTTGTGTCCTCCTTGGCTCGGCCCACCCTGGCCAGGCCGATGAGGTGTCATCTAGTCCTAGTGCCAGTTAAATCTTAGGGTCTCCTTTCAGGCGTGGAGCTGCTTTGCGATCGAGATGTAGACATGGCAACCCGGGTCCAGGACCTGTTGGAGTTCCTTCATGAAAAGCAGCAGGAACTGGACTTAGCCGCAGAACAGCACCGGAAGCACCTGGAGCAGTGCGTGCAGCTGCGCCACCTTCAGGCGGAAGTGAAGCAGGTGAGCAAGCTGCTGGAGACGGGGTTGGCCTTGGCGGCCCTGCAGACATTCCAGGGGCCATGTTCTGGGACTTCGGCCTGTCAGCATCAGGAAGATGGTCCCTGACCAGAACATGAAGTCCTGATGCGTGAGATCTCCCACACTACCCCCAGGCAGTTGTGTCTAAGGTGTCCCACCGATGCCAGCCGCACGGATGCTGCCTGTCTGCTCTTAGTGGAAGCCTTCACGCCCTGCAGGTGTAGCCCCGAGAGTGACTTCCGTTAGCTGTTTTGTTTGTGCCCGTCTCTTGCTAGAAACCTGAGCGTGGTGTTCCCTGGGCCAAGCAACTGTGCTTTACTCTGCCAGATACTGTACTGAGGTAGACAGGATCGTAGACTGTGTGGACTGGGACTTTATTTGTGTCCCTGAGACACTCTAGTGCCACGTCCCAGATGGAAGGGATTGCTCTCCACGTAATGCGAATGCGTGGATCTGGCACTTTATCCAACGAGAGGGAACCTGCTGATGGCTCGGAGGAGGGAAGGCTGAGATTTACACAGAGGTCAGTGCACAGAAAGCCAGTGTTGGTGTGGTTGGAGGGGACTCGAGGTGCTTCTGGACCACGGGCAGGATGTGGTGTGTAAGTCAACATCACTCATAACAGGGAAGTGCGATTAAGCCGGAACTGTTTAAAGGGGCACCTCTCGATCCCCAGGTGCCGTTGGTGGTAATGTATTTTTACGCCATGAATGAGTTCAATGGGTAAAGCATTTCTTACCCAAAAACAACTTCGTCTAAGAAGTAAAGGAATAAGCTAGTATATCTCTTAGGAACTACCTTTGCCTATAAGGTAACAGAGACTAAAAAATAGTAGCTTACAAAAAGTTATTTTCTGTATGTTATTAGTCAGGAGACAGTAGACTGCTGGTGAGGCAGGAGGAAGCACACGGAAGCTGGTAAGGGAGCTGTGAGGTCTTCAGTGGCTAGACAGAAAAATAACAAGGCAGAAAGTTTCCTATAATGTGGGCTGAACATTAGGGATGGGTGTCTAGCTGATTAAGCAACGTTTGACATAGCCAGTAGATAGATCAGTGGACCCAGACACATCTGAAATAGTCCATGAGAAGTCAGTAGGGCCCAGACACAGTTGATCATAGCCAGTAAGAAGAGAACAGTCAGTGGCCAGCCATCGATGAACCCACATGACCTGGGTTAAAGATGATGAATCTGGCAGAATGCAGCTGCCGGGCCTTTTGAGCTGCTCTCTCTGTGGCCACCTGCTCAGGCCTGCTTCTGCCTCTTGGGTGTCTACTTTCTGCTTTTACCTAATAAAACTACCTTTTTCTTTTACTGTTGGCGTGTTTCATTCAATTCTTTGCTTGAAACACCAAGGACCTGGGGTCATCACAGAAGCCATCCCACAGCTCTGGTATCCATTCAGAGGCCCTGGGATAGGCTACACTGCGGTCTTAGTGATGGACGGTCTTTCCCTCACGGTGGCATAATGACCAATGTAGCTCCAGCTATTACCTCCATATCCCAGGCACCAGGAAGGAGAAAGCATAACAAGCAAGAGGCAGAGCCTGTATAGGAAAACTCCCCCGGAGATTGCTGCTCTGATCTCTCGGCTATATGGGAGCTAAGTGGGGGTTTTTTAAGCTCTCCCAAAAGGTAGAGTTTCTGAGCAAATGAGAAAAGAAGGAAGGTGCCGTGTAATAACTAGAGGTCTCTGACACAGTGGCTGTCCAGGATGGCCTCCCCAATCCCGTGGGTCCTGCTGGCAGAACTGGCTTTTCCTCGTTTGTGTATACAGTTGAGAATTTCATGATTTGATCCTGAGCACGGTGGTACAGTTTAATTCACGCTGTGGTTATAACGCCACTTACACTGAGGTTAAATCAGAAAATAGGTGAGTGAAATAAATTAGTTGTTCTTGATCAAGCAGTGTGACAGTTTCTCATGTTTGTTAGGCCTGAGAGGGAATGAAAATACACCTCGATTCCCAGGGAATTGGTTCTGTCAAGTAGGCTTTCTGATATGTGACCCTCAAATCGTTTTTACCTATGGATTCATATTAACAATCTGCTAGAATTTTCACCTTTCTAGCCCCTGGTCGCTACTGAAAGTAAGTTAATTAAAACTATGCAGCACTTGGATCAGATACTGTTGAGTGATACCAGGCTGTCACCAGTAGGATAACCAAGAAGTCGACACTTCTTGCCAATGGGAACAACTCGTGGCCCGCCCTGGTGGTCTGCGGGGTGCATGGGAGTGCATTGCGGGGGTTTCTGTGTCATTGCAGGTGCTGGGCTGGATCCGTAATGGAGAGTCCATGTTAAACGCCGGGCTGATCACAGCCAGCTCCTTACAGGAGGCCGAGCAACTGCAGCGCGAGCATGAGCAGTTCCAACACGCCATCGAGGTGAGCGCCGGCTGCCCTGAGCTCAGGCTTCCTTCCCAGCAAGCCTGCCAGGTCCCCTCACACGGCATGACTGGGCTAAACTGGTAGAAAACTCCCAGGACCCACACAGCAGTGCTCACGAGTGACTGCAGGAGGTGGTGACTTGACGTACACCCTAGCCAAGGGACCCGCAGCCAGAGTCCAAAAGGCCAGGGAGTCCCTGTTGTCCTGCCATGAGCTGTGCCGTTCTCTGATCAGACCCGGGAGCCCCAGCTGGAGTCTGGGCTGAGGATTTCTTAGCATGTTTCGCTGTGCTCATAAGCAGTTCTTGCTGGGTGACCAGCCCCAGGGAGCCGAGAGCTCACGGTCTTCTGAAGCAGGTGCAGACCATGAATTCACAGTTCTTAGTGACCGGTATGGACAGCAGAACTCCCCAGACCCTGCTTAAAGCAGCACAGTCCACCTTCACGAGAGTCAGTGCCCCCAGAGCTGTGGCAGTACGGGCCCCTGTGCTCCACTCAGCCTGTGGGCTCATCATTTTTAGGGCTTTTTGGAGATGGAGGATGTTGGAAAATGTTCTGATTGGTGGTCTCACCGTTAGGCCATGGGGAAGAGTGCATTCGATGACAGAAACTGTGTTTCTTGCTCATCCTACATACGTAGCGTCAGCCATGGAAGGCAGCCCCAGGGCTCACCACCAGTGTCTTCCTGAGTAACTGCCCCAGCACCCTGCACACGTGAGCATTCTTCCTGATCCTCCAACCCTAGGCATCTGTCGAAAACTTTGGTGCCACTGAGTGGTCTCTCATGTTTCAGTGCAAAGAAGTGCCGTGTCTGGGGAAAGATGGAAGTGTATTATGTCCGGTGTTTTATGGGAATATTTGTATTGTTCAGGTAAAATACAAGGACAGTATCCATAGAGAGCTGTGAACTCCCGACTGCACCCCTTCCCAGCGTTCTAGCTCCCCCCGGAGAGAACCTGCCCTCTCGGTTGCTCACGATCTTATAGTGAGTACATGGGAGTGAAATTCTCACTGGGTTTGCCAGGAATTCCCACAGACCTGGCGTGTGGCATGAATCCCAGAGAACACCACGGCTCAACCTTAGCTTTTCATTTGTTTTTAACATTTTTTAAAAATCTGTTCTTTTTTAAAATAATATTTAATTTGATTTTATTCATTGTCATTATTTTAATTAATTCATTTATTTATTTATGTATTTATTCATTTTGAAGATGACTAGAGAGAGAGACAGAGAGAAGGAAAGTGAGAAAGCAAGCTGCCAGGTCCAGGACTAGAACTGCAGTCAGCCAGGTGGGAGTCCAGCTGCCTTAATCACTATGCCACCTCCTGGCCCAAAAGTCAGTAATTCTTTAAAAATTTTCACCAGAGAAGAGAAGAGGATAGAGAAAGATAGCAAGAGAATAATAGAGAGGCAGGAGGTTAGTGAGAGACAGATATGGCTTATTACCTGTTGATGAGGACATGAATGGTATTCTCAACTGGATTGGTCTGAGAAGTAAGTACTTCATGATGGGCAAAGTCTTTTTACGAGCAAAATGAGAAATAGTGATTGACTGTTTAAAAAAATAATAATTAGAATAATAATAATAATGATTGGGGAAAGCATAGAAAAGATATTGAATGTTGAAGCGGGGAGATTAATGTCTCTGTACTGACTGACATGCATGGCATTCCCTTTTGAAAAAGCAATGTAATGCACTGTAAAGTTATATGTAATCCAATGTAATATAAAGAAGATTATGATGATAATAAAAATTTTTTTTTAATTTTCACCAGAGCCCATGGTTGGAATTGCAAAGGAAAAGTCTCCTCTCTAGCCCCTTCTCTCCACCTGTTTGTTGGCCTCTGGTGACTGTCAGAAGAAAGAGCAATAGGAATAATAAACTTGGAGATTGTGATGATTTTTTTTTTAGAATCGCAGCTGTTAGGGGTCTTTTCTGCAGTTTTTCAAGCAGAGAATCCAACAGTGAGACCCTTTCTGGGAGGTCCTAATGCATTTCACCCTTCTTCAGCTCGTCCAGCACTAAGCACATTGTCATAGGCCTAACAGCTTTTTACCAAGCTGTCTGCTGTGCCGTGAGGAGCATCCCAGTGAGCCTGGCCTGGAGCTGTCTCTGCAGCGTCACCAGGACCGGAGTGCAGCCTCCCTGTCCCCCCCGCTGCACATGACACCTTGGTCAGCCGCCTTCCCTCTTCCCCTGTCTCACTAGAAAACCCACCAGAGCGCGCTGCAGGTGCAGCAGAAGGCGGAGGCCATGCTGCAGGCCAACCACTACGACATGGACATGATCCGCGACTGTGCCGAGAAGGTGGCCTCGCACTGGCAGCAGCTCATGCTCAAGATGGAAGACCGGCTCAAGCTCGTCAACGCCTCCGTCGCCTTCTACAAAACATCCGAGCAGGTGGGCACAGTGGTTCGGTTCCCCGGGCTCCCAAGAGACATTTGTTTTGAGCTCCCATTTATTGGGCTTCTCATTCGTCATTGTTGATAGTTCATCGTTATTGAGCCCGTTGGTCTGGGTCACGCAGGGAAAAGACGCTTCCTGGAACGAAGGTGATTCTTGCTACCATAGTATCAAAGGATAATGGCGGAAAGGAGCAGAAAAGAGCCCTTTCCTCTGATTTAAGTAACAGACCTGCGACAGGCGATCCGTGTTGATTGTATCTGAAAGGCCTGGCAGCTCTGACCCCTGCCATTGTCCTCGGGGCAGTACAGCCACTTACGTTCCTTGGTCCTTGGACCTTCCCCCACATCATCTTCCCCAGAGCCTGTCAAAAGTGCTTCTCAAAGGTTCCGAAGGGTGACGTCCCTCGGAGCCTGGAACTTTCTTTTCTCAGGTCTGCAGTGTCCTCGAGAGCCTGGAACAGGAGTACAAGAGGGAAGAGGACTGGTGCGGGGGGGCCGATAAGCTGGGACCCAATTCTGAGACAGATCACGTCACCCCGATGATCAGCAAGCACCTGGAGCAGAAAGAAGCATTCCTAAAGGTATAGACAGGCCCTGATGGGTGCTAGTACACACCCCCCCACACCCCACCCCCGGCGAGCACACACAGACCTGGGGTGTGATCGTAGGTGACAGAGTGTCTCGATGTCAGTCAGGAGCAGCACCTGCAGACACTCCTCAAGCCTTGTGTGCTACAGTCTTCCCCTTCCGAGGGACCCTCCCTCACACACCCGCCTCCACCTCTCACATTGTGTGGACAGGGACTGGGGTAACGATGCATCAGCGATAAGTGAGTCCATGAGAGAAAATCTTAAAATATGTTTTCCATCTGTGATTTGCCCAGCCATTCTAGTTTTCATGAGGAAAGAGCTCGAAATCTCTGTAAAGAAGTCACAATACCGAATAATTCTGGAGACAGAGCAGTTAAGTGATCTATTGATTGATTAGGCGAAACACAATGCTTAGGGCTTAAAATAATCTTCCTTGAGATATTCAGCCTGTAGGAGGCAAGAACGCTGCAGCTCAGAGACCCGTCAGCCAGTTTGACAGAGGCCAAGCCTACGCTTCTTGGGGCTTCCAGGGTCCTCGCTGATGCCTGCCCAGGAAATACTTCCTGCAGGGGAGATCTGACCCCCTTCAGACAGGGGACAGTTTGCTCTGCAAAGCTTTAAATGAGGAATCTTTCAAGATGGCTTTATCCTGTTTTTATATGTGTCATACGCGATCATACACAACTGCAGATGTGCTTGAAACAGTTACATTTTTTAAAATGGCCAGAATGTTTGGAATTTTTTTAAGAGTTTTTCTTTTTTTTTGCTAAGGGTGCATGCACGTACCAGAGACACAGAGAGAAAGTGAGAAATCACTCCCACCCCCAGGGGGGAATCGCCATGCTGCAATCCCTTCTCTTCCATTTTCCTGTTGGGATTTTGGCGTGCATGCACATGCGCCCAGCATGTGTTTCAAGCGGCTGGGTCCAGGACTCAAACCACGGTTAGCCATATGGGAGTCCAGCACCTTAAGCACTACACCACCTGCTGGTTCCTGTTCAGAACCCTTTGACATTGAGCACTTCCATGTTCCACTTGTGGACTTTTAAATAAAGCACCCGAGTTTCTGTTTGTTACCGTTGCCCAGATCTGTTAAAAATAGGCGTGCCGTTTTCTTCTCCTTGTTGCTTTATGAAGTTCAGGTTTTTTCATTGGTTGGACACTCTCGCCTCCCTAACTCTGTTTCCTATCACATTTAATAGCTTTTGTTTGTTTCAAGGACAATCATCTGACAGTGGTGGTTTAGTCTGGCAGGACTCATTCTAACACTTTGAAATGATATCTGGTAACTAATTTTGATCTCCCACCACAGTGACTTACTTTTTAAAGAAGTGACAATGGGAAAACCACTATGATTTGCTAATAGAAAACAAAAGTGAATACTACTCGGTTAATATAATTAAGAAAGATATTTAGGTAAAACTGCAAAACAAAAATAATCACAAGCCTGTTTGAACGCCTGTGTTCAACTAGAAGTTTCTATTGTATTGGAGCTATTTTAAACGTGTTATTATGGAAACTTAAAGATACAGACAAAGTAGGAGATAATGAACCCCTGTTTGCTTCTCACACAGCTTCAGTAATTACCAACATCCGAGTATACGCCTACTGTTGGTGGATTATTTTAAATTGTAGATATTATGTCATTTTATTTGTAAATGCATCGATATGTTTCTAATGTTAAATTCTCCCTTCCTAATACAGAACCACAATGACATTCTGAAATTTTAAGGATTAACAGTTGGCCAGCAGGTAGCATGGTGGTTGAGGGTGCTGGACTCCACATGGCGCACCACGGTTTGAGTCCTGGACTTGGTGGCTTTCTCTCTCTCTCTCTCTCTCTCTCTCTCTCTCTTACATATTCCCTATAGCAAATAATAACAGTAACAATAAATAAAATTTTAAAGATTAACAGTAATTCCATAATACTGTATTCTCTGAAATCCAGCCATGTCTGCATTTCTCTTCATTGTCCCCTAAATTATTTTTTATATGTAGTTTTAATCAGGATACAAAAAGGTCCACATCCTGATTTGGTGAATATGTCTCTTAAATCACTTTTGATCTCAACACCCCCTTAGTTACCACTCATTAATGGAAGAAGTGGGTTGTCCATACTGTGGGATTTTCCAGTTCAGATTTCGGTAGTGGTATGTCGCACACACATGCAGTGCGTCCACACTCCACTAAAGGACTTCAAACCGAGAGCCCTGGTCAGATCAGAGCTGAGTGTGTGTGGTTCGTGTGTGTGTTGGTGGGCAACCTTGCTGCTGTTGCTTTGTAGTCCCTATTAGGTTGTATCCAGAGGTTCATGAAAGAAAAAGGTCCGGCTGTCTTTTTGTCTCTGCACTGAGAGGATTTGTGAGTGGTTCAGCTGTGGCCAGTGCCAGCTCATCCACTGTGGGCTTCCCCGCCATCCTTCACCTCATGAGTTTAGTAGCCAGCGTGACACCGTGTGATTAGGAGTTGTGAAATGTCTAACTCTGACACTCCTTTGGCCTTGAATAGCAAGAGTTAGTACCTTCTCAGCCGCTGGGACTCTAAAACAGTTTGTCCAGAAAAGTGGAGTACATGCTTGATGTTTTTTGTTTGCCATTTTCAGAATAATGAATTGTTGCTTGAGCAACCTCTCCATAGGACTTCTTTAAGTCTTATCACAGATTTTCACATAGAGACATTCCTCAGATGTAACCCGTCCCGACCCCGGGAACCCCTTTACAGCCTGGCTGCTGCGATGTCCTATTGACATAGCCCGAATCGTCTCTAGCCTCGTCCTTGCTGTGGGGTATGATAACGTATCTCAGACTTACCGGTCAAGACTCATGCCCATGATACATTTTAATCTTAAAAAGAAAAAAAATAGAAAAAATTTAAAAATTAAAAGAAAAAAGGATGCCCTTGTTCCTTCTACTCAAAAGGCCTAGAAACAATGACCGGTCCACTAATACTAAGCATCCCTAGTGTCTCCACACACCGTTTACCACAAGGAGGAGACTGAACTATTTGAAGAAAAGACAGATTGCAGATCAAGAGCAGGCAGTTTGGAAGAGATTTCCAATTCTAATATGGTCAAGGGATTTTTCTCCTTTTGTATTTGTATCCTTTTTCATATAAAACCTGCGTTTCTAGTAGGCTAATGGGGTTGCTTATGTGCTTTATGCTACTACATAAAAACAGGAACACGTGTAACAGACTTCCTAACCAGCAGTTGGGAAACTACCCACCTAGGGCTGCGTCCTTCCACACTCATGCACTTACTGTCTGCGGCTGCTTTCATCTACAGGGTGGGCTGAGCAGCTGTGACAGAGACAGACACGGTGTGACCCCAGAAGCTGACCCATCTGCCCTTTATAGATGTCTAGGCATGGCTTCGCTGTATCTTGTGGCTCAGGGTTTCCGAAAGCCTTGGTTAGGGATGCCATCATGCCAGGCTTCAGACGGAGAGGCCTTCACTTCCTCTCCTGGTGTAGGCCAGTGGCTGTCCTTAGTCCCCTGCCACCCGATCCTCTCCACAGGGCAGCTCATACCATAGCAGCTAGTGGCACCAAAGCAAGGACTTTGAGGGAGTTGTTTTTAAAAATTGAAATAGGATTTAACCCATGTGTTTTCCATAGCTCGCATTGGCCAGATGAATGTTCTAGGTGAAGAGGGACGTTAGACTCGTATTTTGTTCATCCGTGTACTCAGAGTCCCTGTTTGTGTGCGTGGCATTAACAGCACGCTGCTCTGCCTTATTCTCAGGCTTGCACACTTGCCAGGAGGAATGCTGATGTCTTCCTGAAATACCTGCACAGGAACAGCGTGAACATGCCGGGGATGGTGACGCACATCAAAGCTCCTGAGCAGCAAGTGAAAAGTGAGTGCAGCTGGGGGTTGGCGGGGTTGCCTGAGGCCGCCCGAGAGCAAGGGCGAGGGCGCTAGACACAGAGGTATTGGTGTTCCAGATTGTTGATCTAGGGCCTCGTTTTAAATGTCCATTTCAAGTCCTCACTGACAATCTTAGTTTAATTATAAAATATTTAAGCAAATTTATAGGCTTTTAATATATCAAATAAGTGATAATTCACTGAATCAAGTTGAAGAATATAAATGGGGAAATGCAGCATTCAGAGTCTTTATTGTGTTAATCCCTAACCCAGCAAGAATAAAATAAGTGAAAATATTATAAATATGGGGAGAAACATGAGAACCAGAGTTAAAAATAAGCAAAATAGTTTTTAAAGTTCAAAACAAGGAATGATGGCAGGCCACACGGTGGCTGGGTCGTAACACAGCGCCCTATAAGGCTGAGCTTTGTGGGTCAGTGCCAGGTTCACGTGCAGGGCCCTCCGTGAACACTGTGGAGTGGGCGCTCATGATCTGGGATTGGCTGAAGCTGGGTCTGGGGGCCGGCATGAGGACCACGTTGGGGGTATCTGTTCTCTCCCACTCGTGAAGAATTAGGTCAACAAGTGTTTTAAAAAGTTACATACCAACATGTATGGTCTGCATAGCATTGCCAGTTTTATATACCTGAGATATACTTAATAAAAGCAAATTTTGAAATAATACTATATAGTTTAATATCTTTTGAATATAAATGTTTATAAGAACTATGTATATTGTTTTCATTTTTTAAAGTTTATTCACTTCTTCTGTGAGAAAAGGAGAGACAGGCCCTTCTAAAAGGGTCTCAATTCCATGACCCAGCCTCAGCCCGTTGGGTCATGGGCACCTGGGTGCACCTGTCATGCCCGGGGAGGCCATGGAATTGGACCCAGGAGGGCCAGTGTCACAGAGCATCACGTTAGTGCTGGGCCACCAGCTGACCCCTAGAAAACCATGTTTTTATATGTAAGTAGAGGCAGGGCATAGAAGAAAGTCCGAGAAGTACATGCTAAACTATAAATAATTGGGTTGATCAGATGGACAAGTAAACAGAGGAGGAAACCGAGATACTGAGAAACCACCTTGACCAGGGTCGAATGGCCTAGGTGTATATTCATAGGAAAAAAATTATTTTAATAATCAGTTAGCAAATGATTCATCTCACACTTTAAAAAATATATGCTTGGGACCAGAGGGTAGCATGGTGACTAAGATGCTGGACTCCCACGTGGTCGGCTGCAGTTCGAGTCTTGGGCCTGGCGGCTTAAAACCCAACTGGATACGTGTGCCCAAAATTCCAAGAGAAGAATGGAAGAAAAGAGACTGTGGCGTGGCCATCCCTCTCTGGGGGGTGATTTCACACTCGCGTTCTCTCTCTCTCTCTCTCTTTCTGTTCCTAGCAAGTGGCTTTGGCAAAACCTTAAAAAAAAATTAATTAAAATGATCACCTAGAACTTTCTACATTGCACTCCACTCTGGCTTCTCTGTTGACTGTTGCAGGATGATCTTGTGTCATACTAGTACAGTCCTCTAAGTTCTCTCAGTGTGACTTTTATCTAATTACTGGGCTCTTCTGGGAAAATCGGCAACTAACAAAGCAACCAATTGGTTACTTGCCCATTTCAGATAAAAATAATGGATTTTCTCTTATCTCTTAATACTGCCTTTGTTCCTTGGGCGTATCCTGTTTGCTCTGTTAAAGATGTCACGATAGTCCTCACCAGGATGGGCCACCTGTCCGAGTGTGAGGGCAGCCATGTTTAATCTTCACTCACAGAGTCGCCATGCATCTGCTGGTGCGGGTCGTAATGTGGGAGCTGGGGAGAGTTAACAGGAAGTGTTCTGTTTCGGTCGTGGTCTACATGGGAGTGAAAGATTTATGCCCGAGGCACTGTGTGGGAAATCCACGTGAGGGTGATGGAGACAGAAAGGACAGCCTGACCCCACAGGTCACTGGACAAGGGAATCCCTCAGGAGCCTGAGGAAGCTCCCATTAGTGATCAGCCCCCTCCAGGAAGGCAGCTCCCCCTCTTCCCAGCCACTCTTCTTGCCAGGCTCAGTCTGGGTCAGGAAGAAACTTCAAACACAAAAAACTAGAAGGTTTATGTTAATTTCGTGGGTGTGATCTTTTCCTTTACATGCCAGTTTAATTTTTTGACAGACTTTAAAGGTCAGAGTCTTAACTGATTTGACAGAACTAATCACCTTTGCAGTATAGTGTACCTCACGCAGCGTGACCCGGAGCTGGCATGTCACTGCCACTCTTAACTCCCACCCCTCACAAGTGCCCAGCTTCCTAGGATCTCTGGAAGTGGACTAATTTAAATATTTCCCAGTGTAATGAGGTTATGCCCTTGTCCCCTTACTCTTTTCTTCCACAGGTTACCACTAGTAAAACTTCCGTGCTCCCATCCATGTGTATAATGGGTGGTCAGAAAGTATTGACGCATTTTTGCATAGAAAAAAATGGCTTTTCTGACCACCCAATAAAAGTGTTTATGTAGAGAAATGCAAACATGTATCCCACTCAATAAAAGTGTTTATGTAGAGAAATGCAAACATCTGTATCCCAATCTCCCATCCCACTTTTTATTTATTTTATTATTTTGATATAGAATGCATGCGCTTACCAGAGAGACATGGGGGATGAGAAATCATCCCCCCAGAGGGGGATGGCCCTGCCATCGCCAGTCTCCTCAAGATTTGGGGCATGCCCACACCCTTGCCCTGTGTGATTTTCCAGACTCCGGGACCCAAACCATCCAGTTGGCCATGTGGGATCCAGCACCTTAACCTCCATCCCACCTGCTGGCCCCTACTTTTTATTTTTTACCAAAATGGGACTGTATTCCTTGACACGAACGTATCTTAGTTAGTGACCTCCTAAATCAGATTTCGGAAACACTCCACAGAGCGTTCTGTCATCGACCCAGCTGCCCCCCAGATGCCGGCTTCATGCGTGGTAACCGGCTTTGCACCGCTCCAAACAGCACTTCTGTGTTGGTGCATTTCAACATGAGTGGTTTTATACACCCGAAAGATACATTCCCGGTTCAGAGATGTGCACCTGTTCAGTGTTGTTGCGTGTAGACAAATGGCTCCTCACTGGGGCTACGCCTGGTCTTCCTCCCTCAGCTGTGTAGGCTCCTCTGCCCCACCCCCCCAGCCCTGCCCAACACCGGCTGCTGTTGGTCTTTGCCGGGAGGACTGAACTCTGTCCTTGAGAGGTCAAACATGTCTGTGTGTAGTGATCACATGGTCCGAATTACACTCACGTGTATGAACTGTGCCCGTTTTTCTAACAGACTGTTTACGTCTTGTGTTGTCTGTGAAGCGCATTAGGTCTGTGTCTTCTACATTCCTAACGGCTTTTCCTGACACTTCCTTTGTGCGGCTGTTAAGGTGGCAGCGCCTCGGTTATAGCATCCTGAGTTTCACGCACCATCCGGAACTTGCCTTTGTGCCTTCGCGCTTCCCGATTCCCTGCTGCATGTCCTTCCCTCTCCACAGCTTATGTCTGAGGGGAAAACAAATAAAAACGAAAAAACCGTAACAACAAAAAAACACCTTTGTGTTCTTGGGTTCCACCATGTTAACCTACCATCTTTAATGTTTACTCAGTGCCTTCCAGAGGAAGGCATTAATAACCTTGAACAAAATGCCTCCGGCTGATGTTTTTCCAGCTGTTGCCCAATTGCCCCCACTGGGGATAAGCAGTGGATTTGCCCTGCGGAGTCACAAGCCACCCTAGGCATCCAGCCGTCTCTTTGTAAGGTGACAGAGTGTGGAGAGAGGCCTGGTCAGGCCCAGAAGCCCTGGCAGTCGGGAAGCAGTGCGGCTCTGGTATTAAACTCCGCCTGGCTCTGGCATTTGCGTGGAAACAGCTGGGCTTCCGCGGCATTGATCAGACTGCCAGGCCAACTCGTGTCTCTTCCCTTTTCCTCCCAGATATCCTGAATGAGCTCTTCCAGCGAGAAAACAGGGTGCTGCACTACTGGACCATGCGGAAGCGGCGGCTGGACCAGTGCCAGCAGTACGTGGTCTTCGAGAGAAGTGCCAAGCAGGTCAGTGCACGCCCGGCCCTCGGCCCTCGGCCCCCGACCCCCGAGCGCACCTCCCTCCTCTCACAGAGAGTCATTTTTCATCATCTTGGAGAAAACCACTTTCTGATGACCAGAATGAGCTGCCTTTCACAGAATAGCTTGTGGGCCAGCTGGTGTGTGATGGTTGAGGCAGCGAGGTCCCATATGGCTGATGCATGGTTTGAGTCCTGGACCTGGCAGCTCAGAAAACATGTGCAGTGTGTGGGTGTGGGTGTGCCCAAAATCCCAAGAGGAGAATGGAGAAGGGACTGCAGTGTGGTCAGCCCCCTGAGGAGAACTTTCTCACTCTCCCTCTGCATTTGTCTGTCTCTCTAGTGAGCTCATATGTCCTCTACCAAATTAGAAAAACAAACAAACAAAAAAGAATAGTTTTTTAAAACCCAGATTCTGGGACTGTGTGTCACTTGGTGGCTTCAGCCCTCATCAAGTATGCCAGTCAGCTTACCCCACTGTTTCTGCCCATGTAAGAGACAGCCGGGGACCAATCGTGATGATTTGGGCCCAGCCACTGGTGCACTGGTAAGATGTTGTGCCCTACACACTGGGAACACATGGCATCCTGGGTTCCATTCCCAGGACAACCTAAAGGGCCGGTGTGGTGTGTGTGCCTGTACTCCCTGCTGCTCAGGAGGCTGGAACAGGGGTAGCAGGAGCTCAAAGCTGGCTTGGTCAACATCACGAGACCTTGTCTAGAAAAGAGTGGGGTGGGGACCAGCAGTTGTTGTAATGGCTATGTTGTTGGACTCCCATGTAGTTGACCGCGGTTCAAGTTCCAGACCCAGTGGCTTAAACTCATGCCAGTTGCATGTGCGTGCATGCCCAAGATCCCGAGAAGAGAAGGGACTGTGGCATGGCCATACCCCCTGGGGGGTGATTTCTCACTTTCTGTCTTTCTGGCAAGCGCATGTGCCCTATGGCGTAGGGGCCGTGGCAGGAGGATTATGGCACAGCGAGATCTCCTCCCCCCCTGCCACCCCCCCAAAATAGGCATTGTGGATTCTTAGATCTATACTTGTATAAATACCATCGGCAGTTTTTTATATTGCTGTATTTATATTTTCAAGACAGAATTTTGTATGTCAGATAAGTCAAACTAACCCGAGATAAGATGTGTGACAAGACTTGTCATCGTTTAGCGTAGTCAGGACAGGCTCGTTCCCGCATCCAGCCGAGGTAGACGTCTGTGTGTGCCTTTGGCGCATCTGCCCTCTGAAGCCGCCTTGAGATAGATAAAGGGCTTCTGCCGAGGCCGTCCGTCCCGGAGGCAGAGCGTCTTCTGGTGGCGCCTGAGTCTTCTGGTGGAGCCTGACTGGCCCGTCCAAAACGGTCAGCTCCCTGTCCTTCTCACTGGCCTCAATAGCAGCTTATGGGGCCCTGCAGCAGCTCCCTGGGACACGAGTGGTCAGCAGGCAGAAGCGAGAGGGAAGGCATGAAACGAATGTGGCACGTCATCTCGTGTCCTCCACTTGAGTTAGCTGAGGGTCACCTGGGTCCCTCGGGGCTGTGAATGTGACCCACATCCTGAGCGTGACTCGGTCCTGGACCTTCTTCTGAATCCAACCTCACCCACCGTGCACTGACACGTGTTCACTGCAGTCTTCATAGTCTGAGGGCTAAGCGTAGTTTTCCACAGAGGGGACAGATTCGATCCCCACCCACTCGGTGAACATCAGCCTTGTGGCTGGCACCACAGGCAGGGCCGCTCCTTGCCCAGAGCAGGGTTCATGGTCCGTGGACCTGGCCTCCCGGCTCGGCCTGTCCCTCCTCATGGCCGACTGTTCAGGTGTGGTGACCACACTGGCGGCAGTGGGGTGGCAAGCAGTGGTATTCTGTGACAGTAAATTTCTCACGTATCTATATTATGTCTTTGTGGAAAGATAAGGAGTCGTTCAACTTCAGAGAAGCCAAATGGAGGATAACCGTCTCGGGAGAGACAGATAATGTAATGTAGTGGTGCATTTTCCTAGCCAACTCATTTGCCAAAAACACAGCCGTTCAGATTCAGCCGTTGCGGACGCTGACCCCGCCACCCCATGGCCCTGTTGGGGTTTCCTCCACTGTCATCACAACCCTATAGTCACTGTCCGTCGTGACAGCAGACAGACCTTGAGGTCCCACACCGACATTACATTAGTAGGTGGGTGCCCCTGATGGGAACGTGGGGGGCAGCTGTGGCTCCTGGGCACTGCCCTGGCCATCCCCTCCCCCAGGCCCTCCGGACCTCCAACCTGCCTGCCTCATCCGTCACCCCCAGTGGCACCTTCCAGGGCTGCATGTAGCTCGTCTGCTGTCTTATCTCGCTCCATGGCATCTCCCAGCCAGACCTCCATTTTCCAGATCTGTAAATCCCAGGTCCCACTCAGCGTCCTCATTTCAGGAGTGTTCTGCCTGATCTCTGCTTTCCCTCTTCTCGCCATCGTCCCTGCTGTGGGTCTGGTAGGACGGTCCTCTGTCCTGCCAAGCCTCTGCTCAGGCTTGCTGGTTGGGGAGCTGCTTCCTCCTACTCTCTGCTCTAACCCCATCATACACAGCAGCCACGTTTACTTTAAAAAAAAAAAAAAAAAGCAAGCTCTGGGTGGGACTTCGATGGCTCCTGTCCCCCTTTCACAGCCTCCCCTCTGGTCTCACCTACCTTCCATCCCTTGCTCCACGCTCCTGGCTGAGCAAATGTGACTGGTTCACGGCCCAGGCCTTCTGGTCCCACCAGGACTCCACCTCGCTGGTCCTAGCCCACTATCGCACTGCCTGTAGAGATGCCTGAGACCAGGGGTGGGCCAGGGAGGTTTAAAGAAAGAGTTATTTACAAACTCGCAATGCCAGTGTCTGGGAAGTCGGGGTTTTAAGGATTACTTTTTCCTTTTCTTTTTCTCTTTTCTTCTTTAAGGATTTTGCATTAGGGTATGTGCACTTGGGGGAGAGAGACAGAGGGAGGCAACGGCAGCGTTGTTCTACCTCTCCACACACACCTCGTGAGAAATCACCCCCCAGGGAGGATGACTGCACCACAGTCCTTTCTCCTCAGGATTTCTGGGCATTTTTTTCCTAAGTTAAACACCACAAATGCTATGATTCATTCAGCAGAGATAGCAGTGTTTCTAGTCCAAACCTGCAGAGTATAATGGGTGGTCTAGATATTACTGAGAATAATAATTATCAAGTGTACTTTCACTTTGTTTCGGCTTCTTTAGCCTCGCAAGGCCTCTTTAGATGTGTGTGTTTCTATGTCTTGATTTCACTTCGGATATCCAAAAATAGAAGCAAAACCTAAAACCTGAGTGAATACCTGGTCCATAATGGTCCTCCCATTGCCGTGTGAACCCAGCCAGTCCCCTGGGGGTGCGTTTACGCTCCACAGAAGCCCCCCCAAAAGCAAGGGCAGTAGGACATGATCCAGCCAGATGCAGCAATAGGAAATACAAGGGACTTCAAAGAGTTTATGGGAGAATGGAATTGAAGTACAAGTGCAAAAATTTATTGAAATCAGGAACCAGCAGTTAGCGTAATGGCTATGTCACTGGACTCCCATGTAGCTGACTGCGGTTCGAGTCCCGGACCCGGTGGCTTAAACTCACGCCAGGCGTGTGTGCGTGCGTGCCCAAGATCCCAAGAGGAGAATGGAGGAGAAGGGATTGCGGTGTGGCCATCCCTTCTGGGGGGTGATTTCTCGCTTTCTGTCTCTCTGTCTCTGTCTTTCTGGTGAGTGCACGCGCCCTATAGCAAAAACCTCTCCCAAACAAAGAAAAAAAAAGTTATTGAAATCCTTGAGCAGCTTTTTCACAATACACATTTTCCATGAATTTTTTTGACGACCCCTTCACATGCATGTGCTTTCTTTTTCCGTTTAATTGGAAAACCCCAGTCAGGTTGTAAAGTTTCAGTGACACAAATATCTAGATATTTAGCAAAATGTGAGGCTTCCAGACCAGCCCTCTACCTACACCCTCTCAGGACGCTCATCTTCTTCACTGTAATAGAATTTGGGTGGACTCAGGAGAGGGCGGGTGGGCACCCTCCATGGTTGGGTCACTGCGATCGCTACCCTGCAGCCCTCCAGCCTGTCACCACGTGGGATTGGCTTTTCTTGAGCAGCGCATTGCTACTGTGCTGGGGGGCCGACCCCTTGATATTCTTGAGAGAGGATCTTAATTGTGGATTTTTTTATTGTGCCTTTATGTTCACCGTCATAAGAAACTCTTAAACTTTCTGTCTTGTTGCCTAAGTGACACGATTATAACCTTCTAGAATGTTCTTTTTTTAATTTGGGAATTGTGAAACTTATTCCAGCAACTTCTCTCTCCTTGAGGGAGTGTTTCTTGCTGTGTGCTAGCTGTGGCTCGTGATCTGCCGTTTAGACAAGGCACAGGGCGTTGGGACTCCTCGCACACGTTTAGCCCATGACGCTTCTCCATCCCTCCCCTCTCCAGGCCTTAGAGTGGATCCATGACAACGGGGAGTTCTACCTTTCCACACACACCTCAACGGGCTCCAGCATCCAGCACACCCAGGAGCTGCTGAAAGAGCACGAGGAGTTTCAGATAACTGCCAAGGTGGGTCCAGGGCAGGGTCGGACGCCTGGTTGGTGGCCTGCGGATCTGCAGAGGTTTTTCCAAAATGACCCAGGGTGGGAGACCACAAGTAAATGAGATATTTCTCAAGTAACGTTTCAGACTTAGCCGTGGAGGCACAAGTGGTGAGGTGCCATTGTGCAAGGCTGGGGTCCCACTGGAGTTCAGTTCCTGGACCACCTAAATAGGCATCGATGTTGCTAACCAGCTGGGACAGGAAGGTCACGAGGGTGAGACCCTGTGAAAAAGTACCTTTCTCTCTCTTTTCCTCGCCTCCCCAAATTTATACACACACACACACACATATACATACATATATACAGGTGCGTGTACACACATACATAGATACACACGTATATATGCTCACATTTATGTTTACATGCCTGTGTGTATGTGAATTCAAGAGATACCCTATGAAACTGGATGAACAGGGTGAGCCCATCTTGTCGGGCTGCCCCTGCACCTCTTCATCTCCTCCCTTCGTGTCTCTGTCCTGTCATCCCTCAGGTTTCTGTAAATACCTCCATCTTTTTCCTTTCCTCCTCTTTATCCTTATGTATTTCTCTTTCTCTCTCTCTCTCTTATTTTCCATCGCATTTTCAGTGTATTTAGTATTTTTATGAAACACTCTTTGCTGTAAGCACCTTGTCTGTCAAGTGCTCCGTGTCATTTCCTATCTCTGGTTGGTGAGGGAAGTCAGGAGTCCCACCCTAGTCAGGTGGGACGTCGGCCATGTTTCATGGCTGGCAGCATCTCATGGTCTCTCACATGTTGGTTCATAGGTTTAGAGAACTCGAGGCATTTTTCACTTTTCTCCTGAAAACTTAAATAGAATATTATTAAGTCTTCATGACATGTGAGGTATATGTGAGTGATTATGAACTATAAAAGAAGTATAAAGAATCTTCTCGTTAGGAATGTTTTCCCAATGAAAGCATCTGCTGCAGGGCCTTATTCCTCCTTTTATTTTAGCTCAAAGCAGCAGAAATACCTTCTTCTGCACCTGACGTGTTGCTGTTTTTCCCAGTTTTCGAGTACACAGCCTATACTATTTTCAGAAGTGCTTCTGTTTTTCAGGCTAGATTTAAGGTTTTTAGAAAAAGCTGAAAGTTATTTCAGTATTAAAAGTGGAAAATAAGTAATCAAGCTTAATACATTTTTAAAAAAATATTTGCCAATAAGTAGCAAGATTAATTATCTTGAGTGGCCCTTAACCTGGCTTTGAAACCATCGGAGAGGAATTTTTAAACCATATGAGTGTGGACAGCAACTTTGTGTAAGTTTATTTGCTCATTTTGATGTTCTCCGTCACCATTTTTGACTGGTCCTGCTGTTCTGGCAGTCCAGAGTTTCCTCTCCCCCAAGCTGTAGGTTCAGGTTCCCTTCAGCCTGCAGGGTCCCTGTCCTGGAAGGTTGCACAGTCCTGCAGGGCTGTAGTGAGACAGAACCCTTCATCGATCCACCAGTTACCTGTGGAGTCTCAGCCATGTACCAGGAGCTAGAGGGTGCTGGGCTCACGGACTGCATGTTTTAAGGGGTTGTTTCTTTCTTCTTTTTCTTTTTTTTTTTTTAGGTTTTTGTCATAGGTTGTGTGTGCTCACTGGAAAGACAGACAGATACAGAGAGAGGAAAAGTGAGAAGTCACCCCCTTCCCTCAGAGGGATGGCCATGCTGCAGTTCCTTCTCCTTCATTCTTCTCTCGAGATTTTGGGCATGCATGCACGCACACTTGCTGTGCATGTGTTTCAAGCCACTGGTCTGGGACTTGAACCATAGTTGGCTATGTGGGAATTCAGCACCTTAACCACCATGTCACCTGCAGGCCCCTGCATTGTCTTTTTTATTTTCATTTAGGTGTCTCCTTGTCTCTGTACTTAAAATGCTCAGTAGCTTTCTTTACCCCTTAAAGATAAAGTTCGCAGTGCCCTCTACAGCTGACTCTTGTGCCGATCAGAGAGAGCATAGTTGACAGGCCAGGATACCTGGACTGTGGAGGCGATGTTCTCATAGGAAGGAGACAGACATGTTTAACAAATAAGTCGGTTACATCCACTGAGAGAAGGTGATTTGCACTGTGGGGAAAAAAATCAGTGCGGATAGGAGAAGGGTGGTCAGAGTAGGGGGGCAGGTTGCCCTGTGAAGGTGGTCAGGGAAGGCCTGTGGAGAAGGGGACCTTGGTATGAGCAGAGGTGTCAAGGAGCCGTGGCAATGTCTAGGGGGTGGCAATCCAGGAGAAGCACCCATGTGAGGGGTAAGGGCCAGCCTGGACAGGCGAGGTGGGGACCCAGCACTCAGCAGCCGATGGCTTTCCTGGGGTACCACCTGACACTGGAGGTGTCTCACAGCTGACTGCACAGGTTACCCAGTGAGTTCTGGCTCCAGACTTTCACACACTAAGGCAATTTCTCCAGATTTGGAACTCTGACTTCCTGTGTGGATTTTTTTAAAGTCAGTTTCCTGAATATGCATCCTAAAGATTTTTCTAGTTCAATCTGAACTGGAAAAGGCAGATTCCAGAAGGGCAGCTTATTTATTTGAAAATGCCAGTGGGAATGTCAAAGGACACCTCATCGCCAGTTCAGTGAACTGGATGTGACAGATCCCGTAAGAAAGCAGAGTTGAGTGAAGGAGCTGCCTTCTATATAATCGTTGTGTTACGGCTGTCTTTAATTTTATGAAAATAGAGTTATGCTTAACTTAGTAAAAGGTATGTTCTTTGTACTTATAAAGTAAAAATTTTCTTTTTGAGAAAGAGTTCTCACACAGGAACAGAATTTAAAATACTGCTCTGGAGATAATTTCCTAACTAATGAACTTTGTTCCGTGTCTCCTGAGAGTTAAAAAGGAAATGAACCTGTGATGTCGAAGTGCTTCATCGGAGATTGGGTTGAGTGCCTGCCGCAGGGACTAGAGAACCTGACTTCAGGAAGACCGAAAGAAAGTCAGATGGCTGCTCGCCTCAGAGCGCTGCGGGTCGGAGCATGTAGAACAAGCTGCAGAAAGCTGGCCGGCTATGCACCGCATTCTGACACGCAGTGGTGGTCGAAGGAAGAGGGAGAGGAGAGGACAGCACCCGAGTGTTCATTCTTTCATTCATTCATTCTATAGGGTAGTGCCGAGCTCCTAGCAGATAAAGACTCAGCAGAAAGATAGTCCGGATTTCTTCTCTGAGGCCATAAAGCTGCATTTGCTGTGGAAGGGCTGGGAGAGGCAATAGGCCAGCCCCGGGGAGAGGGTGGATGGGCTGGGGCTCCAGGCTGTTTCTGCCACCTGCCGGGTTTCCCAGCCAGTGCTCAGAGTCCTAGGCAAGTGGCTACTGCGTTTTGGTTTCTGGCAGTCGGTTCATTTGCTTCACAATACTTTCCTGTTTTTTTTTGTGTTTGTGTGTGTGTGGTGTTTTTTTTTTTTTTTTTGCGCACAA